CTCTACTAATCAAGCTTAACATCATACTCACTATATAGAGGAAATGCTTAAAGATTCCGGTCCATTTCCACAGAGCAGATACTGAAGGGTGCGTTTGGAATTAAGAGGCAATAAATTGATAAGAGGCACACATACAAATAAACAGAAGACCATGATCTGAAGCTAAGAGAAAAAACCATCAATAGAAACCAACCTTAAGACTAAATGTTGGAATTAGTAGACAAGGACTTTGCAGTGGCTACTATAGATATATTTGACAACTTAAAGGAAAAGTTTTCACAATGATTAAATAAATGGGAAATATTGCAAAGAAATGGACTCTATAAAAAAAGAACCAATGGAAATTCTAGATCTAGAAATAAAGCCTAAAAAAATTTTTAACAGAATATTAGAAATACAGAAAAGAGGGTAAATAAATTCAAAGAGAGATTAATCGAAATAATCAAATCTGAGGAGCAGAGAGAAAAAAAGATTTAAAACAATAAAAACCTCAGTAACTTATGTGACAATATCAAAGGGTCTAACACATGTGTAATTAGAGTCTCAGAAGAAGAGGAAACAGAATATGGAGTAAAAAAATATATTTAAAGAAATAATGGTTAGAAGCATCAATTTAGAGATCCAAAAATTTCAGCAAATTCTAAACAGATACATACAAAGAAAATCACACCTAGAAAAATAAAAATTAAATAGATAAAAACGAAAGATTAAAAAAAAAATCTTTACACCACCTAGAGGGAAAAAAAAAAAAAAGCATAGTCCACACAGGAGAACAACAACACAGATACAGCTTACTTCTCATTAGAAAAAAAAGTTGGAGGCCAGAAGACAATGAAATGACATCTTTAAAATGCTGAAGGACAATAAAACCATCAATGCAGACATTTTTAAATAAACCAAAGCTAAAAGAATGTGTCACTAACAGATTTGTACTACAAGAAATATTAAAGAAAATCTTTCTGGCTAAGGAGAGCAACACCAAACAGAAGCTTTAACCTATAGAAAGGAATTAAGATCACGAGCAACCCCCTCAGATCCCTGCCTACTTTGGGAGTTTTTCTATCCTCTTGATAAATCCTGCTTTATCAAAAAAAAAAAAAGAAAAGCACACATTTGGATACATATAAAAGACTACTTTTTTCTTCTCTTAATCTATTTGAAAGTTGATTGTTTAAGACAAAATGTGTCACCCTGTATTGTGAAATTCATAATTTACATGAATATAAAATACATGACAATAATGGCACAAAGAATGGGGTGGCATACGTAGAATTACAATAAGTCTTCACTTAATGTCAGAAGGTTCTTGGAAAATGGAACTTTAAGTGAAACAACATATAAGGCAACCAATTTTACCATGGGCTAGTTATACAAACAAAAGTTAAGTTCTTATAGCATATTTCTGGTCACACAAACATTATCAAACTTTTATTTTTTATTTTTTTATTTTTTGAGTTGGAGTCTCACTCTGTTGCCCAGAATGGAGTGCAGTGGCCACTCCTGGCCACTGCAGCCTCGACCTGCTGGGCTCCGGCGATCCTTCCGCCTCAGCCTTCCGAGTAGCCAGAATTACAGGCGCGCGCTACCATGCCCAGCTAATTTTTTTATTTATTGTAGAGACGAGGTTTCGCCTGCCCAGGCGGGTCTCGAACCCATGGGCTCAGGCAATCCACTCACCTCAGCCTCCCAAAGGTGTGGGATTACAGGCTGAGCCACCGAGCCTGGCTTATCAAACTTTTAAATAACGACTCAAAATACTTATAATATTAGACATTGAAATAAATGGAAGCTATACATACATTTTATAAAGGTTCATAAAAACAAGTATGATAATTATTGACACCAAAAAAAAAAAAAATCTGCTTTCATCCTTAGCTTTGTTCCCCTATTGTAAAGTGTATTTTTTTTTTTTTTTTTTGAGTTGGAGTCTCACTCTGTCGCCCAGACTGGAGTGCAGTGGCCGCTCCCGGCCACCGCAGCCTCGACCTGCTGGGCTCCAGCGATCCTTCCACCTCAGCCTTCCCAGTAGCCGGAATTACAGGCATGCGCTACCATGCCCGGCTGATTTTTTGATTTATTGTAGAGATGAGGTCTCGCTGCTGTAAAGTGTATTTTTATCCTCTTGTTGCTTTTATGATTTTCTTACGATTATTAGTTTTGAGAAAAATTTGGTCATGATGTACCTTGGGGTAATTTTCTTCAGGTTTCTTTTTATTTTTAATTTTTTAGTCGGAGTCTCACTTTGTCACCCAAGCTGGAGGGCAGTGACACACTCACGGCCATCATAGCCTCAACCTGCTGGGCTTAGGAGATCCTTCCGCCTCAGCTTTCCAAGTAGTTGGAACTACAGGCAAATGCCACCACACCTGGCCAATTTTTTGATTTATTGTAGAGACAAGGTCTCACCAAGTTGCCCAGGCTGGTCTTGAACCCCTGAGCTCAGGTAATCCTCTCACCTCCGCCTCCCAAAGTGCTGGGATTATAGGCGTGAGCCACCATGCCCGGCCTTCTTCAGGTTTCTTGTGCTCGGGGTTCACTGGGATACTTGGACCTGTGGGTTTTTAGCTTTTATCATATTTGGAATATTTTCAGTCAATGTTTCTTCAAATATTTTCCTGTATTGTCCTCCTTTAGAGATTCCAACTGCATGTATATTAGGCAGCTTGAAATTGTCCCACAGAAATATTTGGTATATTTCTTTTTTCAATTTTTTTCTCTCAATGTTTCAGTTTGTGTAGATTTTATTACTATCTTCAAGTTTACTAATCTTTTCTTCTATAATAGCTAATCTACTGTTATTTTCATCCAGTGTACTTTTCATCTCAGAGTTTTTATCTTCACAAGTTCAACTTGTATCTGTTTTATATCTCGTCTCAATATGTTCAATATTTCCTCTAGCTTTTTGTTCATATGAAGAAAATTATAGTAGTTATTTTATTTTTTACTTTTTTTAGTTAGTTTTATTTATTTTATTTTTAAAAATCTTTTTACTTTGTTATTATAAAGATATGGGGTACAATTCAGGGTTAGGGATACAAACGTTGATTATGCAGGTATCCTTGTTGATGATATAATAGCTATTTTAATATCTTCGCTTCCTAAGTGGGATCAGTTTTAATTTACTGATTTTTCTCATTATTATGAGCCATATTTTCCTGCCTCTTTACATGTCTTATAATTTTTTATTGATGCCATATATTGCTAATTTTACATTGTTGGGCTCTGAATTTTTTTTTTTTTTTTTTGGTATTTCTATAAATATTATTGAACTTTGTAATGCAGCTAATTAATAGGTTGATCCTTTTGAGTCTTGCTTTTAAGTTTTTTTAGTCAGCATCCTCTGATTAGTCTAAGGCTGAACTTTCCTTGTTATTGAGGCAAGACTCTTTACCCAATGCCCACTGAAGTCAGAGATTTTCCAGTTTGGCTGGTGGGACCATCTGCTTTCTTTGGTCTCTTAAGATTGGTCCCTCCAACACTTTCAGATGGCTCATTTTCCACCCTCAGGTAGTTTCCTCACCCACATATATTTATCAGTATTTATCAATGATTACTTGAGTAGGACCCTTTGCAAATCTCTGGAGTTTTCTGCATATTCTATTCTCTCCTCTCCAGGATCCTGCCCTGTGAACTCTAGCTGCCTTGGTTTCTCTGCACTCCTTAGCTCCACTGTTTCAACTTGGAGAGACTGTGGGCTCCAGCTGGGTTCCCCCTCCTTGCACTAGGGCCTTGAAACTCTTTCCAGGCAGTAAGATAGGGTAATCTTAGGACTCATCTTGTTTTCCTTCTTTCAGGGATGATTGTCTTTCATTGCTTGATATCTAACATCTTCAAGCCTATTGTCTCATACATTTTGTTCCATTTCTAAATTGTTTCGACTTAATCTAGTCCCTATTGCTCCATTTTAGCCAGAAGTGGAAGTGGCCATGACTTTTTTTTTTATCAGTCTTTATTACTCAGTCTTTAGTGTTTTCTGGTCTGCAATCATGTTTTGGGGAATTTAGGAGATGTCTAACAATATTTTAATAAAATATGTGCAATTATAAAAAAGATAAGAATAAATCAGATGTAGGAAAAATTAGGTTAGAACAGATAGGCAGTGCTGGAGTACTGGCAACTAGGGAGAACATATAATTTCCAGCTTCTTTGAGAGTGTGAGGAGAGCTTTATCTTGGGAGGTAAAGGCCTCTTAGACATAGGGATAGGGATCAAATGCTACGCCACCCAAAAATGACAAGCGTTCACCATGACCATAATCTGCCCATTAAGCTTTTTTTTCTTTAAATTTGAGATGGGTCTTGCTATCCTGCCCAGGCTGGTCTTGAACTCTTGGGCTAATCCTCCTGCCTTGGCTTTCCAAAGTACTGGGATTACAGGCATGAGCCACCACACTCAGCCATTAAACATATTAATATACAGCCACATCATCCACGTAAACAACCAGTAGGTTAAAAACAGTTTCTCAGAAGAAAATTGTTTTATGCTTGCGCCAAGCTCACTAACATGCCGGTAACAAACTAAAAAAGTAACAAAAGTATACCAGTTCCTAAAGTGTGTAAAAGAAAGAAGAGCCGGGAGCGGTAGTGGAACGGTAAGCAAGAATGAAGACCTGAAAGAACGGATGCCAGGGAGACATTAGGGTCGTGCTACCTGCCCGGTACCCTACCCCTGACATGGGATACCCTCTTTCCGTCATCAAAGAGCAGTAAGTACGACATCTCCTCGCCTGGTTCTCGTCCTCCTAGGATGAAAGTCCCGTTTTGTTAACAAGAGAAAGGGAGGCATTAAGGACTTTTTGCCTCCTCCGGGACAGCGGGTGGCGAGCGGGACAACCAGCAGGCGCCACCGCCTCTCCACGTCCTCGCTCTCCACTCATGAGACCCAACCCGGAAGAGAGAGCTGCAAGGCCCAGCAGGACCGCCCGGAGACTGTGCCGCGGCGGGTCCGGCCGTCTGCCTGGCAACCGGTGATGTCACTGCCGGCGCGCCGGTGACGTCAGAGGAGGGCGCCACCCTCGAAGAAGTGCGGGAGGCGGCTCCCGCCGCGGTGCTGCAGTCATGGAACTAGGGCAGGAGGCGCGGCGACTGGGTTGCTGGGCGGCGGAAGAGATGGGGGTGCCCGTAGCGGCCAGGGCCTCGGAATTCACGCTGCGCAGGTGAGGTTCTCTCCGGGAGTGAGGACTCTCTCACCTGGAGATAGTCTCTGGGAGTGAGAACCCCACCCTTCCTTGGGGACTGGACCTCCCGTTCCCCATCGAGAATGACCCGGGTGACTGAGGGCTCCCCGCCCTGGGGAGCCCTGTGTTCAGGAAGAGGACGTCCTGATGGTGACCCCCCACCCTGTGAAGCCACCCAGAGTGAGATCCCTGGCACCCATGTGGAAATAGGATCTTTGCGGTGGCTCACCACCTCCACCTATACCCGAGGACACTTGGGAGTTAGCTTGACCACTCCCCTGGATCTGGAGAAGTGATGACCCACATTTGGTCACAAGAGAGCACCTCCTGGCCGAACATCCCACTTCTACCCCCACCCTGAAGCGGCTAGAGAAAGGGAGCACACTACCAGAGAATGAGAATACCCCCATATTTAGTGAGAAGACCACCCTCTCAGTAACTAAGAACTCCCCAAGAGGGAATATCTTACTGCCAAAAGTATGGGCCTTCCCTCCTCCAGAGGTGAGAACTCTCTAGTGAAGACTCCCTACCACCATCACCAGAATGGGGATCCTCCACCCTATGTGGTGCCCCAAGTATACCCTTACACATTCTCTCCACAGGCTTTGTCTGGGCCAGGGTGCTGATATCTGGACCTACATCTTGCAACATGTGCATAGTCAGAGGTAAGTTGCACTGGGACAGGGGAGGGGGCACAGACCAGTCCCAGTAACCCCTCTTCCTTCTCTCTCTCCACTCTAGGACTGTCAGGAAGATCCGGGGAAACTTACTCTGGTAACTGTTTCTCAAAGTTATTTGTTCTGTCTTCCCCAGTCCCATCTAGCCCTATCCCCACCCACAGCCTTTCACTTTCTGCCCCAATCATCCCCTCACTCTGGCCTCCTTTCCTCAGGTATGGCCACCAAGACAGTCCAGAGGTAAGATGCGTCTGCTACAAGATTCTCTTGCATCCAGTAAAGGACTTGCAGATCTTCTGCTCTAAGCCCACCCTGGGGCTGAGTGATACTGGGAACACTGTCATAAAACAGTGATCCCTACACTCACAGATCTTACAGTCCAGGGGAAGAGAGACTTGAGCTAGGAGTAGAGGGGCCGTGGATATGGGACATCAAAGCTGTTGTGGAGATATGGGGGAGGGGACAGGTTTAGGAGAGATGCTGAGGCAAGTGAGACTAGATATGGAACTCAGGGAACAGACTGGGACTGGGACAAAGATGTGGGTATCACCAGCGCAGACAGAAAACAGACTGGAAGGGTGAGTGAGGCAATTCCAAGAGGTAGGTGAAGACCAATATAGTACCTTAGTGCTTCTGTGTCAGACACAGAAACTGCTTAGAAAAAACCCTCTGCGCATATCCAAGATAAACCAAAAAGAAAACAGAGAAAAGAAACACCACTATTTCTTAGGCCTGGAAGATCTGAGCAAATGCTTAACTTCTAGTAACTTACCACTGTGGTCACTGTAACATAGTAGCATACATTCAAATGTGTTATCCATTTTGGCACAACTGATAGAAAGAATTTTGTTATCCAAGAATTAAATGCCAAGGGAAAAGAAATGCCAGTTAAACTGGATCTACCTAAAACAGGAACCAAAACTTCAAAGTTTGATTGTGTCCCCATGTTGAAAATAAAACTAAACATTATTTTAAAAAAAGAAAAGAAAAGAAAAAGCCCTCTGCTAGTCTCTGGGCAGGTAAGGAGCCTAGTGCCCTTTAAAAGGCAATCAGGTCAGGCTGAGCCCTGATCAGACTGTTCATCTGACCCTGTACCTGATCCTACCAGGTCCGTCGGAAGTTGGAGCTGGAAGCCACTGTGACCCGCCTGCGGGCAGAGATCCAAGAGCTAGATCAGAGCCTGGAGCTGATGGAGCGAGAGACTGAGGCTCAGGGTGACCTGTGGGGCCGGGAAGAATGGTAGCAGAATGTAGGGTGGGGAAGGTGCTGATGGCCACCCCTGTTCTTCCACAGATGTGGCCATGGAGCAGGCACTGCAGAGCATGCGAGACACCCAGCGTCGAGCTCTCCTCCTCCAGGGTCAAGCTAGGGCCATGCGAAGACAGCACCGTGAACTTCAAGGTTCCACGCAGTGGCTGCAGAATCAGCTTAGGCACCTGCAGGAGATAGAGAGGTGAGCTTCAGGGACCAGACCTCACCAGGCTGGGTGGCCAGATAATCTCCTTGGACCCCAGTGATCTCCCCTGATCCTTTCTGGGGTTCCAGAATTCCGAACTCCCACCCTTAGGTTGTAAGATCCTTGAGGCCGGGAGTTTTGTCATCTCAGTCACCTGTATTTTTAGTGCCTGGAATGGTGCCAACTGTATATCTAGAACACCAGCTCTGGGGAAATAACAGTAAACAAAGGACAGGACCCTGCCCTCCTGGAACTTACACTCTAATGCAGAGAAGACATAAACTAGGAAACAAACAAACCATATAATTTCAGGTAGAGATGAGTGCTAGGGAGAAAAGGTGACAATGATAGAAAGAGGGATACTACTTTAGCTAGGGTGGTCAGGGAAGTTCTCTGAGGAGGAAACATTTGAGTTAGGAGAGGAATTTCAGTGGAGAGGGAATAGCAAGAGCAGAGGCCCTGGGCTTGGCATGAGGGAAGAATCACCAGGAGGCCAGGTCAGCACAGACTTCCCAAGCAAGAGGGAGAACCTGGGGGGGTGAAGTTGGAGAGGTGGACAGAGCACCACAGATACTGGGATACTGGGTTCATGCCCTGGCGTGGCCACTTACAACTGTGTGACCTTGTGCCTCAGTTTCTAAGATCTGTGGACTAGGGATAATATAAAAAGCAACTTAATAAGGTAGGTATGATAATTAGGTGAGTTAAATTATGTGAAGTGCTTAGAAGAGTGTCTGTTAACCACTGTCATTAATCTGCATGTGATGGGAAGGCATGTTTTGGAGAGTTTTGAGCAGAGACATGGTCTCCCTTAGTTTTAATAGGATCATTGACTACTAAGTGGAAAACAGACCACAGGGGGTGAAAGCAGGGAGGCTAATATAGTGGTCCAGCTGGGAATGGAGGTGGTCCCTGGGATCCAGGCACAGCTGTTCCTGTGACCGACCTTGCTGACAGTGAAAGGGGATGCAGCATAGACTTCTGTTCTCCCAGTTCCCTCCCTCCAGGGACCCCCATCCTCCTGACCCCCCACTGCACTTCTCCCTCCAGGAAGGCCAAAGTGGATGTGACCTTTGGACCCCTGACATCAGCAGCCCTGGGCCTGGAGCCCGTGATCCTGGTAAGAGTCCTGGCCGTAGGAGAAGGGGTGGAGAGTCTAGGGTTAGGCAGATGCCTGGGAACCCCTCGTGCCCTATCCTCTTCTCCCTAGTGTGATGTCCGAGCAGCCTGCACCCTCCGGGCCCAGTTCCTGCAGAACCTCCTGATTCCCCAGGCCAAGAGGGGCAGACTCCCGTGAGTGGCCCCAGCCCCCAGAGACCCCACAGAGAACCTGGGCTTTAGGAGTGGTCACTTGTTTATCAGTTCCTCAGACACTAAGCTTCTGGGCCATGTCAACCCCGGGCCTGCCTTGATAGGGCTTCTAGGCTGAGAAGAAAAGGAGACAGACCCATCACAGATAGTGACAACTAGGTGGTTAGGGCCTATTGGGGATGGAGAAGTCTGAGAGGCTCTGAGCATCCAGCTAAGAAGGTGGGGCGGGGGGGGGGGTTGTTCTCTGGGGGGAAGCCTTAGCTAGGGTAAAGGATGGAGAGACTATCCTAGGTAAACACCTGTAGAGGCCCCAAGACCAGCAAGTTGGTGTAATTGGAGAACTCACATCTAGCAGGCATAGGAACAATGACAGCCCCTACCTACCTTATAGGGTGGTGGGAATAATTGACGTGTCTTGTAACATTCTCTGTTCCCTTACCCAACCCCATAGAACCCCTCATGATGACCATTTTGGAACTTCTTATCAGCAATGGCTTAGCTCCGTGGAGGTGAGAGGAACTGTCATACCCTTCAGCCCCATGATCAAAACTCAGGGTGCCAGAACCTAACTCTTGATCCAACTCATTCCCATGGGATCCCAGCTTGCAACCCTGCCCCCCCCCCCCACCTGACTTCACCCCTCTCCCTTCCAGACACTGCTGACAAACCATCCCCCAGGCCACATCTTGGCTGCCTTGGAGCATCTGGCTGCAGAGCGGGAGGCAGAGATTCGATCCCTGTGTAGTGGGGATGGGCTTGGAGATATGGAGATATCCAGGTGTGGCATGGATTGTTCCTACAGTTAGGGTGGGGCAGGCTGTGAAAGCTGGGACAAGGTCAAGACTAGGCACAGCCACTTGCTGATGGGGGACAAACTGAAACCCAGTGCCCAATGTTGTGGGTGGGCTGATAGTGGCTACACTCAAGTACCAAGGCAAAGACACAGGGCAGCTTGCTCAGCAACTTTGCTCCCACGCTAGGCGCCAGGCACCGGAGCAGTCAGACTCTGGCCAGACCCTGCCATCCATGGTACATCTCATCCAGGTGACCCCCCAAAACTCTGCCCTCCTCATTTCCCAAGACCCACTCAGTCGCCTCAGCCCCATGGACCATGCTTACCCTGACTTTGTACCCCACTCCAGGAGGGCTGGCAGACTGTAGGTGCACTGGTCACCCAGCGGGGTGCCCTCCTGAAGGAGCATCAAGCTCTGACACAGCACCTCCAGGGCTTAGTGGAGGAAGTGGAGAAACGTGCCCTGGGATCCAATAAGAGGTGAGAGGGCTCTCTTGCCAGAGGCTTCTTGGCCATTTCTCTCCCAGGTGTCTCGGGATAGTTGACTTTTTCTACTCCTGTGGCTTTCATCTCTTCCTCTCTTTCCTCAGTTTTTCTCCCTGGTTTGTGATCCCTTGTGCATCCCTGCAAATATCATCTCCCTCTCCAAGTGTGAGTCTCAGTCACCCTCCTCTCCTTTGCTCTTTTCTGCTTGTCCCCCAGGCAGGTGTTGATACTGGGGCTTCGGATCTCTGGCCTGTGGGCGGAGCTTAAGGCCCTGCGTGCCCAGAGCCAGGAACTGGAGGATGCAGCTGGGCATCGGCAGCTCCTACTGAGGGAGCTACAGGCCAAACAGCAGCGGATCCTGCACTGGCGCCTGTTGGTGGTGAGAGGCTGGGCCTGGGGAGAAGTCTGGTGGAGGGCCAAAGTGGAGGCTTCGAACCTTGCCATCAAGAACTAGGTCTCCTTGGGGGGGGCAGGGTGAGACCCCAAGAAGCAGGACCAGGACCTGTGCAAAGGGCTGAACTGAGGTTGGGAGGTGGGAAGGAGCTAGTCTTGGTGGTCTCCTGGTTCCTCAGGAGGAAACACAGGAACAGGTCCGCCTGCTCATCAAGGGAAACTCAGCCAGCAAGACCCGCCTATGCCGGAGCCCTGGGGAGGTGAGATGGGAGTTGGGATGGGGTCTGGGCAGGGCTGGATCTGCTGGGCTGGGGCTAGATGGACTCAGGCTGCCCCGCCTATCCCTCTCCTTCCCCACAGGTGCTGGCTCTGGTTCAACAAAAGGTGGTCCCGACATCTGAGGCCGTGGCACCACAGATCCAGGAGCTGCTTCACTGCCTGAAGGAGGAAGTCCGGCATCTGCCCCATATTCTGCTGGACACTCTGCTGCGGCACAGCCCTGGAGAGTGAGACTGGAGTCATCTCCCATATCCCCTGCAATGAATGACTGACACGCCCTACACCCCCTCCAAAATGAGCCCCAGACCCCCAGTGTTCCCAGGCTGCCAGACCTTACCCTCAGGTCACCAGCCTTGGTCTGGCAACATAGTCCTCCAACCCACCTCCAAGTTTCTGGGCCCAGAGCCTCTAGGACCCAAGCCCTGCTCTCAGTACCCCACCCAACTTGGACTTCCCCTTGCCCTCCAGGTCAAAGCCCCTGCCCATGGTCCTACCATCCATCCACCAGCTGCACCCTGCATCCCCAAGGGGCTCCAGCCTCATAGCACTGAGCCACACACTGGGGTTGCTCCCAGGGAAGGTGAGTGCTTGTCTCTACAACTTGCCTCCCCACCCCTGCCCAAGGTGACTGTGCATCCCCCTTCGTCCAGGCACCAGAGCTGCTCCTCCCGGCTGCTGCCTCTCTTCGCCAGGACCTTCTGTCCCTTCAAGACCGGCAGAGTCTCCGGTGTTTAGATCTGCTCCACATGAAGACCAGCCTGCCACCGGGACCATCCACCCAGGGTAAGCCTGCCTTGTTTCCTGTCTCCAGCACCCCTGCCCATCCCCCATACTGTCAGCCTCCAGAAGAGCTAACCAGCCACACCCATTGCTCACGCAATGCCTACTGGGTGCTAAATGCTTTAAACATATGCCCTTGTTAATCTGCACAGCAGCCTCATGAGGTAAGTGCTCCTATTCTCTCTGTTTTACAGAGCAGGGAACTGAGATGCAGAGGGCTTAGTAGGTTGCCCAAAGGGCAAGGCGGGATTTGAATCCAAGTGGTCTAACGCGGGTCTGTGCTTCTAGCTGCTAAGCTCCACTGCCCATTGGATCGCCAAGTACTCTTTCACACCATCAAATAGTATATACTTCAGTAGTTAAAAGCTGTGCTATGGAGTTAAACTACCTGGATTCCCTTCTCAACCCTTCTCCTTCTAGGTATGGATCTTCCTGTGTCTCGGTTTCCCCCTCAGTGGAATAAGCACAGTAATAGTATCTTACAGAGTTGCTGGGGAGATTCAGGCAGGTGACCCAAACAGGACACTAAAAAGTGCCTTGTATACAGTAAGCACCCTGTGTCTCCAGTGTGACCATACTTGCCTACCTATACACTAAATCACTTTGAGTTCTTACCATGAGGGAAGGGATTTTTAAGACCCTCCTCAACTTCCACCCCCGTTAACAAATGAGGAAACTAAAATGTAGAGAAGTTGTTCATTCCTGGATTCACTCAGCAAACACTCACTGGGTGTCTGCAGGGGCCAACCCAGATAGCTTGTTGGGAAGTGAGGAGAGAGCTTTCTAGCCCCAGAGGTTTCCCCATGGCAGAAGCACTTCATAGTAGAAGCAAAGAGAAAAAATCAAAGGATACTCAGATGGAAGAGGTGGATTGATAAGAGATTAATTGGGGGTGCCATCAGCAAAGGAAAGAGACTATCTTCAGCCTTGCAGTGTGGGCTCCCTGCCTTCCACCTCTCCACAAGGGTAGGGAGCAGCATGCAGGGATGACCAGAACAGGCCAAGACAAGGCACAGTGTCTCCACCTCATGGGCATCTTTTTTTTTTTAGTCAGAATCTCATTCTGTAACCCAGGCTGGAGTGCAGTGGCACACACATGGCCACTCCGGCAATCCTTCTGCCTCAACCTTCCAAGTAGCCGGAACTACAGGTGCGCACTGCCACGCCTGGCTATTTATTTATTTATTGTAGAGACGAGGTCTCACCATGTTGCCCAGGTTGGTCTCAAATCCGTGGGCTCAGGCAATGCTCTTGCCTCAGCCCCCCAAAGTGCTGGAATTAGTCTTGAGCCACCACACCTGGCCTCATGGGCATCTTGAATATATCTATAATGAAACTGTTGGTTCTCTCTACTCCAAAAAGCAATTTTGTTCTTCGTTTTCTTGATTTCCTCCCTCAGTAGGAATTACCCCACCCACATCCTTTAGGTGCTGCAGCCAGAAACCCAGGAGTCATCCTTAATTCCTCCCAACTTCCTAGCCTTGTCAGCAAGCCCTGTGGGTCCCATCCCCAAAGTTCTCCAATTTGCCCCCTGCCTCACTAGCCTGCGGTTCAAGATAATTCCACCTGACAGTAGACGTAGCCGAAGAACAAGTGTCTTGATTGAAGTCACAGGGCAAGGATTGCGTAGAGTCAGGATTCAGACCTGATCTTCTGCACTTGCTGAGCCAGGCCCTGTTCTGGGCACATGGAGAGGGACTAGGACTAGACTGTCCCAGGGGGAAACACTTCTCGAGTGAAGGGCTGGAACATGCTGAGGAGGAAGCCGTGGGACAAGGAATGCTGGGAAGGGCTTCCAGGAGGAAAGAAAAATGGTATCTCATGTGGGCCCTGGAATAGGTCAGGTTTTGTCCAGGAGTAGTGAGCAGATGCCACATAATGCAAACTCTCAAATATCAGGAGCTTGGACTCTGCCTTGGGGGCACTGGGGAGCCTTGGAGGGTTCTAAATAGGGAAGGGAGAGGATCAGCCTTGGGCTTCAGGAAGATCATTCTGGCTGCCACATGGAGAGTAGAACAGAGTGGGAGACTGAGGCCTGGCATCTAGGAGGGAAGCTGAGTGGATGGGCCATGGAGGTTGATGGACTGTCAGGAGGAGGGAAGAAGACATCCAGAATGAGGCCTGGGGGCTGGTGAGGTCGAGATGAGCACCTGGGAGGAGGGACAGGTTTGGGAGAGAGGCTGAGGTCAAGACCAGGTGACTGGAGCCTTGGTGACCCACTGGCTGCAAGGCACCAGTAAGCCAGAGGACTCAAGGCTGCCTCCGGGTTTCTAACCTATAGAGCTGCTGCAGATCCAGGCATCCCAGGAAAAGGAGCAGAAGGAAAGTCTGGGGCGTGCTCTGAAGAGGATGGAGAACCTGCTGAAACAGGCGCTGGAGCGAATCCCGGAGCTGCAGGGTGTTGTGAGGGACTGGTGAGAGGGGGATGTGACGGTGGTGGGGAACTGGGCTGGGCGAAGAAGTCAGGACTCGGGCTAGGGGGCTGGTGAGAAGGAGCAGGCCATGGTGTTGGGGGATGCAGTGAGGGTCTGGAAGGCCAGACTTCCCTTCTAACGCCATGCCCTTCCCCAGGTGGGAGCAGCCAGGACAAGCTGCCCTGTCCAAAGACCTCTGCCAGGGTCTGTCCCTGCCCTAGTGGCGGCTGCGCTGGAATCAGGCCCAGGGGACCCTGCAAAAGCTATACACATGAAGAGGGGGTGCAAGCAGAAATCACGAACTTCACATCTGTTGACCCCAATACCGCAACTCCCCCAGGACAACATTCGAAGGACAGCATCGCCAGGATTTATCAGGCCATTGTTCCCACCTTTGCCTGCAGTCCCCGTCATGTGCTGTTCTATTGCTCCCCTCAATTCCCTTGCCTCCTGTCTCTTCATCCTGCCAAAGCTGAGAGAATGGCATGCCCTGGACCCTACCCCAGGTACCCCTGAGTATCCCAGGTATCACTTTCATCTTCAGCGAAAAGTAATTGGGCACCTCCTCCAGGCACTGGGGATTCAGCATTGAAAAAACTGGACAGAAGTCTCTGCCTTCGTGGTGTTGACATTTTAGAGCAGGGAGACAGACAATTGACAAGACAAGTAAAACACGCAGTATGCGGGAAGGTAACTGCACAGAGAAACTGTAGGGCGTAGGAAGTACGATTGAAGTACACAGCTCCCCTGCAAAGGTCACACTCCGTAAATATAGTGAGCCCGAGCCTCACTACGTTCCTGAGGAAATTTCTGAGGAAGAGCTTGCAGGTGGAGGCTGCAGCACACGCAGAGGCCCTGGTGTGAGAGCCAGCAAGGAGGCCAGTGTAGTTGGGGGGCAGGGGGCTAAAAATGAGATTGTCTTCCAGTTTTTATACAGTTTCGTTTTTTACATTTAAGTCTGGCCAATTTGGAATTTATCCTAGCAAATAGGTCCAGTTTTGTGGTATTTCACATATATCCCAAAAGCACTTATTAAAAGTCCTAGTCAGGCAACGCTTTTGGGTCCCCTCCCACTGTGGGAGCTTTTCTGTCCTCTCAATAAAGCCTGGCTTTCAAATAAATTAATTTAATTTAATTCCCAGTCAGAGCAGCAGCTGCCTCTGAGGAAGGGGTAGATGGCGGGTCAACGAACGAGGAGCTGAGGAAATGCTAGGGTGATGGGAAAAGTATTATCTTGAGAGCAGTGGGGGTAACAGAAGTGCAGAGATGTGTCAGAACTCACCTAGCTGTAGTCTTAAGGCCTGTACATTCCAACTGTGTGCCTTATTTTTCAACTTACAAAACTTTAACCACTGGTTTGAGATGCCACCTTTTCATTCACTAAATTTCCATGTTTGATCTGGGTTCTCTTCAGATCTCTTGTGTATCTAACTCTTCGTGTGCCATTCCTACAGGGTTTTTGTTTGTTTGGCGTTTTTTTATTGAGACAAAGTCTTGCTTGGTCATCCCAGCTGGTGTGCAGTGATACAGTTTTTGCTCACTGTAGTCTTAACCTCTTGGACTCAAGCAATACTCCTGTCTCTGCCTCCCAAGTAGCTGTGACTGCAGGTGTGCACCACCACACTTGGCTTATTTTTTCATTTTTTGTAGAGATGGGGTCTCACTGTGTTGCCCAGGCTGGTCTCGAACCCCTGACCTCTAATCTTGCCTTGGCTTTCCAAGTGCCGGGATTACAGGCATGAGCCATCATGCTCAGCCAAATATATACATTGCCATATCTAAAATGGTTTGTTGCCCTTATTATTTTTCAAGGTTTCCTTGTCTCTTGTTGCTAATTTTTCCTCCCAAATGAAGTGAACATTATACTAAACTTGCCTGATTCCAGAAGTAAAACAAGCACAGATAGTAGCTTTACTGGTATTGCAGTAAGTTTACAAAGTAGACTTGACAGCTTTACAAAGGAAAACAGGTGGGACCTTATAAAAAATAACTGGTCCACATTCTTCAGAAGGTCATTGGGGGCAGGGTGTAGACTGCTTTAGATTAAAAAAAATACAACAACCAAATGTAATGCTAGATCTTGATTGAATCCAATTTTTTTATTTTAAAGTTTGAAAATATGGTTGGAGGCCAGGCACAGTGGTTCATGCCTGTAATCCCAGCACTTTGGGAGACTTAGATTGGAGGATTGCTTGAGTCCAGCAGTTTGAGACCAGCCTAGGCAACATAGTGAGACCTAGTCTCTACAAAAAAATTAGCCAGGCAGGGTGTTCGCCTGTGGTCCCAGCTACTTGGAAGGCTGAGTGGAAGGATCACTTGAGCCTAGGAGTTTGAGGCTGCAGTGAGCTGTGTTCATACCACTGCACTCCAGCCTGAGCAACAGAGTGAGACCTCAACTCAAAAAAAAAAAAAAAAAAAAAAAAAAAAAAAAAGTATGTTTGGAGGACAACTGGGGAAATTTGTGAATTAGAGAATATTGTTGTATCTGTTAAATTCCTTTGGTGAGATAGTGTGTATTATGGTTAGGTGGGAGAATATTCTTAGATGATATATGTTGAAGTATTAAGGATGATGTGTGCAACTTTCAAGTGTGGGAGAAGAGGCAGGGATAGAAGCTAGACAAAACTGAATGTACGTTATTTCTTAGTTGTGACTGTGGAAACATCTAATTTTTCATATTTTTTTAAATGAGAAAAAAGCAAACTCCTAAAAATTCAAAACAAAACGGATGAACCTGTGTGTATCGCGTATCTTTTTTTGAGTTGGAGTCTCACTCTCACCCAGACTAGAGTGCAGTGGCCGCTCCTGGCCACTGCAGCCTTGACCTGTTGGGCTCTGGAGAGCCTTCCACCTCAGCCTTCCAAGTAGCTGAAACTATAGGCACATGCTACCACGCCCAGCTAGTTTTTGATTTATTGTAGAGACGAGGTCTCACCAAGTTGCCCAGGCGGATCTCGAACCCACGGGCTCAGGCAATCCACTCACCTCGGCCTCCCAAAGCACTGGGATTACAGGCTGAGCCATCGAGCCCGGCCTTTTTTTTTTGAGTTGGAGTCTCACTCTGTCACCCAGGCTGGAATGCAGTGGCACACTCATGACCACCCCAGCGTCGACCTGCTGGGCTTCAGCGATCCTTCCACCTCAGCCTTCCAAGTAGCCGGAACTACAGGTACACATTACCATGCCAGCTAATTTTTGATTTATTGTAGAGACAAGGTCTCGCCAAGTTGCCCAGGCTACTCTTGAACCCACAGACTCAGGTAATCCACTCGCCTTGCCCTTCCAGAGTGCTGGGATTACAGGCAGAGCCACCGAGCCCGGCCGTATGGGATATCTTGTGCCAGAAAGCAAGGAAATCCTGCAAGACTACTGTGGTCAAGTCACAGAGACTCACGAGCCAATCTGAAGAGGCTCTCACTAGCCAAAGATGGGACTTTATGAGCAGCAAAAAGTTGCAGTGGTTTGAAGCACATCAAATATGTTTCAGTGCGTAAGTTCATATTGATATACACATACCTCTGATATGCACATACCTCTGAAGTCACCTTTGAAGGGTACTAGGAACCAACTCATTATTTAAAATTTTTTTTCATAAAATATAGAAAGCATCAAGGGTATTCTTTATCTTTCCTATGTGAACAGGTAACAAAATTCTGACAAGGAGTTTATTTATGGAAGAATCACAACTAATAACTTCAAAGAGAATGACAGAATTTAAAAAAAAAACCTACTTGCCATCTATTAAGTAATGGATACAGGTAATGATGATCTAGGGCTGCTAAAACTCTTATGTGAAAAGTTGTTTGGGCTTCTTAAAAATGGAACAGGATGGTACCACCAATCAATACTGACATCAAAGGAGGGCCAGGCATGGTGGCTCATGCCTGTAATCCCAGCACTTTGGAAAGCCAAGGCGGGAGAATTGCTTGAGGCCAGGAGCTTGAGACCAGCCTGGGCAACATAGTGAGAACTCGTCTCTACAAAAAACTTTTTAAAAATTAGCCAGGCTTGAGGTGCATACCTGTAGTGCCAACCACTTGAGAGGCTGAGGCAGAAGGCGCACCCAAGACCAGAAGGTCAAAGCTGTGGTGAGCCGTAATCGTGGCACTGCACTCCAGTCTAGACACCAGAGTTTAGTTTTTCCAAAAAAAAAAATTAAGCCTAAATCTAATAAAGACTTAGCTCTCATTACAAGTATATTGGAAGGGGGGAGGGGCAGTGAGAAACAAGCGAAATAAAATTAGCATATGTAATTAGTTAAATCAAAAATGTGGGACATCCTATAGGACAAAGAGAAGGCAAAAGACATAGGGGGAAGGAGGGGAGGGTGAAGAAAGCAAAGGAGGAAGGAGGGAAGGAAGAAGAGACATTTATGTTAAAAAGACAAGATTTTTAAAGCTGAAACCATTTAGATAACAATTAGTATTGAATTATAACCCAAAATATAAAATAAATATCCATGAGTCCGTTTGGACAAATGATAGAATAAGTAGATGGGGAGCAACAGATAAATCTACACAAAAGAATTCCAAATAAGCCGGGCTCGGTGGCTCAGCCTGTAATCCCACGCCTTTGGGAGGCTGAGGTGAGCGGATTGCCTGAGCCCGTGGGTTCGAGACCCACCTGGGCAGCGAGACCTCATCTCTGCAATAAATCAAAAAATCAGCCGGGCGTGGTAGCACACGCCTGTAGTTCCGGTACTTGCAAGGCTGAAGTGGAAGGATCGCCGGAGCCCAGCAGGTCGAGGCTGCGGTGGCCGGGAGCGGACACTGCACTCCAGTCTGGGCGACAGAGTGAGACTCCCACTCAAAAAAAAAAAAAAAAAAAAAAAAGAATTCCAAATAGTTTATGTAGATACTCCACTCTCAAGGAAATAGAGCATAACCCCCCACTCCTTAAGTGTAGATTGCACATGGTGACTTCCTTCTAAAGAGCATGTAAAAGGTTTTTTGTTTTGTTTTTTAAAGAGTAACTTTATAGTGGAGAAGCCTGACAAACACTATCTCAGCTAGGTGATTCTGACGGTGTAAGTTATGTTGACAGTATGTACCCTCCATATATGAGAACCTCACTTCTGTAGTTTTTCAAAAAAAAAAAAAAAAATACTCATAACCCCAGTCTAATGATAAAAACATAGACAAATCCCAAATGAGGAACATTCGACAAAATACCTAACCAGTACTACTCAGAGTTGTCAAGGTCATCAAAAACAAGTAAAGCATGAGAAACTGTCACAGGCAACACAAGCCCAAAGAGATAGGACAACTAAATGTAATGTGATATCCTGGATGAGATGCTGGAATAGAGAAGATAAATGAGAGAGACACTAGGAAATCTGAATAAAGTATGAACTTTAGTTAATAATTTTTTAAAATTCCAATTATCTCTTTACATGTCTAGCACGGGAGCAAACAAAATACAGTATTTTAACAGATCATTCATTTGTGCTGATTCAGACTGGGACTTCAAGAATCAAAGCAGCCAATAAAATTAATTTTTGACAAAAATACCAACAACGAAACAAAATGTGTGGACCTTATTAGAATCCTGATTTCACAATACTATTGTAAAATCTAGTATTATAATAGTATTGCAATACTATTATAATTTAGCCAATGTAACAGTGTTACAATACTATTGTATAAATACATTTTTGAGGCAGGGAAAATTGAACATGCTCTGGGTGTTAGATAATACTAAGAACTTAGCCGAGTGGTTGTGGTGGCCCATGCCTGTAATTTCTAGCATTTTGGGAGGCTGAGGCAAGAGGATGACTTGAGCTCAGGAGTTCAAGACCAGCCTGGGCAACATAGCCAGACCTCATTTCTTCAAAAAGTCGAAACTTGGCTGGGCCTGTAGTCCTAGTTACTCAGGACGCTGAGACAGGAGGATCACTTAAGTCCAGGAGGGCAAGGCTGCAGTGAGCCATGATCGTGTCACTGCACACCAGCATGGAAGACAGTGAGAACCTGACTCAAAAACAACAGCAACAAAAACTAAGAACTTGTTTGAAGAATGGTATAATTAATGGTTTTATTTTTAAATAGATCTGTGTTAGAGATATACTGACGCATTTATGAGTGAACTGACAGACGTCTGGGATTTGCTTTAACGTACTCCAAAAAAAAATATTAAAAGTATAGATGAAACCGGAAGTTTGGAATATTGGTAGTGTTTGAGAGGTATGCAGGGGTTTGTTATACTAGTCCCTCTAATGTTGTGCATTTTTAAAAAAAAAACCATAATAAAACACTTTGAGGGTTACCAAAAACAAAACAAAGGAGGGGTCAGCTCTGTCCCAAGACAGGACACAGAGACCAAATCCTTACAGTTGCCCCTCTGAGTCGATGCAATAGACTACTGCCTCTGGGCCTTAGCATCAGCTGTTTCTTCCACCCAGAACACCTCTCCTCGTTTGCTTTAGCCAGTGTCTTCAGATGTCACCTCCTCCAGGAATCTGGAATCCTCTGAGCTTCTTCCGTGACGTCTCTGGTCTTCCTGGGAATCACAGGTAAGTTGTCTACTCCAGAGCAGGTGGCTCGGCTAAGTCTCCAGCCTCGCCCAACCCTGAGCTGACGCGGACTTCAGTGTATTTAGAAACTTCCGGCGCGGGCTTCGCGGTGGCTGGGGGGGGGCCGGCCTCTGAACTTTCCTGCGTTCTCAAAGGTCCGGATTCCATATTAGGGACGGGCCCAACTGACGTTGCTTCGCTCTCATTAGTCCATGTTTCTCCGTGAAGGCGGGGCCACCTCTATTGGGGTGTTCCCGTTGACCCAGGTTCTTCCGTCAGTTCGTCTTTCCAGCATTCTGATTGGCAAATATGCCTCCTTGAGGGTGTGGCCAGTCCTCATTGGCCCTCACTCCTGAACGTATGACGTCATGATTCGGCGCCCGTCGCTTTTGTGTACGTCATCTGAGAGCGCCCACCCTGACGAAACCAGAGAGTAGCCGAATCGGTGGCGGCGGCTTAGCTGAGACGGTAGTAGCGGCGGCAGCGACGGCAACAGCGATGGCCGGGGCAGGACCAGCCCCGGGACTCCCGGGTGCCGGAGGGCCCGTAGTCCCGGGTCCTGGCGCCGGCATCCCGGGCAAGAGCGGCGAGGAACGCTTGAAGGAAATGGAGGCGGAGATGGCCCTGTAAGGCCCGAGACAGAGTGTGATAAAAGCAGTCCCAGAGCCAGTCACCGAATTCTGGAGATTCCAGGCCTCGATAGGCCGGAGATGTGGCTCTCACGTGGGGAAGTGGGGCCTTCTGAATTGTGGGGGCTGGGATAGGAGAGGGGTTGGCAGGGGTGAAGGCGATATGCCCAGCGTTCCAGAATTGGTACGAGGTTCTGAGCTGTGGTGTCTGTCCTACTCCTCCAGGTTTGAGCAGGAAGTTCTGGGGGCTCCAGTAACTGGAATCCCAACCGCTGTGCCTGCCGTGCCTACGGTCCCCACGGTAGAAGCAATGCAGGTCCCAGCGGCTCCTGTCATGCGCCCAATTATCGCGACCAACACATACCAGCAGGTACGGCTGAGCAAAGGCATGTAATTCAGTGACCATAGGGCTTCGAACACAGTAGGTGTTTGTATACGAAGAGGTATTGACGTTTTGACTTGTTGACTAATTAACATGACAGATTGTATTGTATGTGCCAGGCACTGAGAACACAGTATTGACTAAGACAATATTTCTGCCCTTTGGCAGCTTATATTCTAGAGCATGTTGTTCAGTAGAGCTTTCTGCAATGATGAGAGTGTTTGTATCTGTTTAAAATTTAATAGGTTCACATGCTCAGTCACATTTCAAGTGCTCAATAGTCAGCTGTATTGGACTAGTAGACAGAGGGAGAGACTATTAAAGTTAAAATAAGCAAATGAAGCCGGGCTTGGTGGCTCAGCCTGTAATCCCGCGCTTTGGGAGGCTGAGTTGAGTCGATTGCCTGAGCCCGCGGGTTCAAGACCCGTGTGGGCAACTTGGCGAGACCTCATCTCTACAGTAAATCAAAAAATTTAACCTGGGCTCGGTGGCTCAGCCTGTAATCCTGCACCTTTGGGAGGCTGAGGTGAGTGGATTGCCTGAGCCTGTGGGTTCAAGACCCGCCTGGGCAGCAAGACCTCATCTCTACAATAAACCAAAAACTCAGCCAGGTGTGGTAGCACATGCCTGTAATTCCGACTACTTGGAAGGCTGAGGCGGAAGGATTGCTGGAGCCCAGCTTGTCGAGGCTGCGGTGGCCGGGAGCGGCCACTACACTCCAGTCTGGGCGACAAAAAAAAAAAAAAATGAGCCGGGCGTGGTAGCGCGCACCTGTAGTTCCAGCTACTTGGAAGGCTGAGGCGGAAGGATCGCCAGAGCCCAGCAGGTCGAGGCTGCGGTGGCCAGGAGCGGCCACTGCACTCCAGTCTGGGTGACAGAGTGAGACTCCAACTCAAAAAAAAAAAGCAAATGAAACTCGTTAATTCTGTCAAAAAATAATACAGAGTGCCTTCTACTCACTAGACCCTATTCTGGGCATTAGGCATATAGTAAAGAACAAACAAACAATAATCACAGCCTTTTTGGAGTTTACATTTTACTAGGGAGAGACAGGTCAAGGTATGCTAAGAAGGGCAGAGGTTCATTAGCAGTCAGGGAGGACCTTTCTGTGGAGGGGACATTTAAGCAAAGATAGCACGGAGATGATGGAGAGAACCATGCAGATATCTAGGAGAAGAACATTTTTAGCAGAGAACTTCCAGTCCAAGGGTCTTGAGGCAAGTGCATACCTGTCATGTTCAAGGAACAGCAGGGAGACCAGTGGCTGGAGTGGAATGCACAAAGAGGAAGGTAAGAGGAGATAAAGACAGAGAGTTGATGGAGGCCTTATCAGAGATGAAGAGCTGTTAGAAGATTTTGAGCAGAAGGGTGCTGTGATCCAATTTAGAGGTTAACAAGGTTGCCCTGGCTGTGTTTGGTGAATAGACTGTAAGGGGTGAGGGCAGAATCAAGGAGACCAAGAAGAGGCTAGTATAATAATATAAGCAAGAGATAATGGTGGCTTGGACCAGGTGGTGGCATGGGATATAGGGAAGACAGATTGGACATAATTTCAGTTAGTGCTAAGTGCTGTGGGGGAGATGAAACGATGGTGAGAGAAGTTGCTACTGAGAGAGACTAAGGACAGCTTCAGCTAGTGTGATCTCAAAAGCCTCCCTGGGAAGTGGCATTTTAGCTGAGACCTGAAGGTTGGCAGATAGCCCCACAGAAATGAAACTCTTGGCCTCTTGGGGTGAGCCTGCCACGGGATATTGGGAGCACCGAGTCAGGCCCCTCACCCTGATCTCTTCCCCAAAAGGTCCAACAGACTCTGGAGGCCCGGGCAGCTGCTGCAGCCACTGTAGTTCCTCCAATGGTGGGTGGCCCTCCTTTTGTGGGCCCAGGTAAGTAAGGAGTGGCAAGGTGAAGGGGTCAGGCAACCAGGCAGGGTGGTTAAAAGGGGATACCTAGAACTTTCATCCCACTATCCTCATCTCTCCCTCCCAATAGTTGGCTTTGGCCCTGGCGATCGGAGTCACCTGGACAGTCCAGAAGCTCGAGAAGCCATGTTCCTGCGGCGAGCAGGTAGGTCTGGGGCCAGGGACCCCCATGTTTAACTGGGTACTTTTATTTAGATGGCTTTAGCCTCCTGCCTAAGTCACTGCTCTGAATCACCTACTCCACCCCCACTCTGATGTTTTCACCTTCCTAAAGCACAATCTGATCAGGCACTTCCTGTTTATTTCATGTCAATTTGGCCTTGCCATAATCATGGCAAACCAACCTCCCTACTGTCAGTCCTAATTCCAAACCTTTGCTGTGTTTTCCCCATTACTTAACACCTATAGCAAGCTATACAATTTACTTTTTAGCATGATTATCATCTTTCATTCTCCCTAAAATATAAGCTTCATGAAGGGCAGAAGTCTTAGCACCTGCCACATAGTAGGCATTACATACTGTCCGTTGATGGGATGGACAAGCCATCCATCTAAACAAGCATTCGCCTCCTCACCTGGCAGCCCAAACCCTACATGACCTGGCTCCTTGCAGAGAGAGATCCTCACATTCTCCCCAGGAGCTCTGATTATTGCTGGGCTGTGCCAGCAGTGCTCTTGTTAAGGTACCTTCTCTCCCCTGCTCATTGTTGCACAGCTATAATCTTCCAACCTGCTGAGTATGGTGACTCTTACCTGTAATCCCAGCACTTTGGGAAGCAGAGGCAAGAGTATGGTCTGAGCCTAGCGGTTCAAATCCAGCCTGGGCAACTTGGTGAGACCTCATCTCTACAATAAATAAAAAAATTAGCTGGGTGTGTTGGCACACACCTGTAGTCCCAGCTATCTGGAAGGCTAAGGTGGAAGGATCACCCGAGCCCAGCAGGTCAAGGCTGAGGTAGCTGTGACTGTGTCACTGTGCTCCAGCATATGCCACAGAGTGAGACTCCAACTCAAAAAAAAAAAACCTTCCAACCTGTTCTTTCCACAGGCCATTCTCCCATTCCACCTTTTCTCCTTCAGGTAACCTTTACACACAGTTTTTATGACATCACTTCTTTATATGTAAGAAAAGGATATGTGTTATCTCTTGGGTGTAAAATTCTAGTATAATCTCTATTAAACCAAACTTGTTAATTATGTTACCTAAATCCTGTTTTACTTCATAATCTGATAATATCTGAGAAGTTTTTGTCTCTTATTCTTTAGTATGGTTTTGATCAAAATGCAAATTTGACCTCACCTTGTCCAGCTTTCAACCCTGCTATGGCTCCCCAGTGTCTTTGCTTGGATGCCTGCTGACCTCTTAACTCTTCTCATGACGATTTCTAACCCACCACTTTTTCAATTGCAGTTATACTAAACTGGAAGCGGAAGGGGTTTTGCTTATAAATAGTCTCTTGCCCTTTGCCTGACTAACTCTGTTATCGTGCAGGTCTCAGCTCACAGTCCCCTTCTCCAGGTAGTCTTCTCTAGTCCTCCTGGCTGGGTCAGTGGGCTCCTCTGGGCTCCAGCAGCTCTCTGGACTTCCGTCTTCTAGCACTGATCACTCTGCCTGGGCTTTATCAAACCCCTCCAGCCCTGGTCATTCAGGGCTGTCATTCTCTGGTCTCTTCCCTCCAAGTCTGGACCAGGAGTTCCCTGCAAACCTTTGGCCTATTGGTGTTTCCTCAGCATTGCCCACCACAGGACTGGGCGCAGAGGAGCTTCTCAGTGGTAAATTTTTGCTGAATGAACCAGTGGAAGGACCCCCACATCTCCCAGAAGGCTCCCCGGACTCTTCTTCAGGATTCCTTGGATGCTACGCGCGCGCACACACACACACACACACACACACACACACACACACACACACACACTGCCGCAAGTGCCCCTGTCCCCCATGACACACACCCTCATCTCTCTCTCCCACAGCTGTGGCCCCCCAGAGGGCCCCTATCCTGCGTCCGGCCTTCGTCCCCCATGTGCTGCAGAGAGCAGGTGAGGGGCCCGGGGTCATCTTCCCTGCCACCTAACTCGCCCCCAAGCCCTCCAACTCCCCCACTAACACCCTGACAGATTCTGCTCTTTCTTCTGCAGCAGCTGGTCCCCGCCCTATGGCACTGCGGCCCCCTCATCAGGCCCTTGTTGGGCCCCCTCTGCCTGGACCCCCGGGACCACCTATGATGCTGCCACCAATGGCTCGGGCCCCAGGGCCCCCCCTGGGCTCCATGGCTGCTCTGAGGCCTCCCCTGGTGAGTGTGGTTAGGGAACTAATGGTCAGAGGTACAGTGGGTGGAGAGACCCTCGATCCTGGCCTGATGGGCATGTCTAAGTCTGTCTCGCTCCTGACTTTGTGTTTCTCTTCTACTCTGACTTAGTCTCTCCCTCTGTCTTTTCTTCTTTCTTTCTGTGGCCAAATCTGTGTTTCTCTCCTTTTGTGAAGAGACTATAGATGGAACACATACTATTGGTTTGTTTCTATCTCTATATCTCAACTTTTTCCTTTGATTGTCCCTCTCTGTTTTTATGTCTTGATGGTTTTATTTGTCCCTGTGTCTGTCTCTTTGCCTGTGTTTCTCTGTTTCTGTGTCTCTGACTAGAGGCTCCTTTCTCTGCCTGTGTGTCTCTTGCCTGCTCTCTGGCTCTCAGGCCCTTTCTTTGTTGTGCAGGCTGGGGATGAAAGTAAGGTCTGAGCTTGTGATCTGGCCCCCCTCATGCTCTCTTATTGTCCACAGGAAGAGCCAGCAGCACCCCGAGAACTGGGCCTAGGCCTAGGGTTGGGTCTGAAAGAGAAGGAAGAGGGAGTGGTGGCAGCGACAGCAGCTGGACTGGAGGACGCTAGTGCAGCAGTTGCTGTGGGGGCAGGAGGTGCCCCAACTGGCCCTGCAGTCATTGGGCCCAGCCTACCACTGGCCCTGGCCATGCCATTGCCTGAGCCTGAGCCCCTGCCCCTCCCGTTGGAGGTAGTACGTGGCCTACTGCCCCCGCTGCGCATTCCCGAGCTCCTGTCCCTGCGTCCACGGCCCCGGCCACCTCGGCCTGAGCCACCCCCTGGGCTCATGGCTCTTGAGGTAAGCAGGCAGTACAGCAGTGAGGGGACAGAAGTGGCTGGGAGGGCAGACAGGAACCTGTGAGCTTCCACACACACAAACACAAACATAGACCTGTCCAGGGTTGGGAGGACTTGGGGGAGAGGGAGGAAGATACACATACCTCACACCAGAAGCACATCTGTTCCTTACTGTGGAGGCAGGAGGGCAAAAAAGAGTGAGGAAACTCCAGCACCAAGCCCTTTGCTCCCCCTTCCCTTTCCTCTGCAGGTCCCAGAGCCCCTGGGTGAAGACAAGAAGAAGGGGAAACCAGAGAAATTGAAACGCTGCATTCGCACGGCAGCTGGGAGCAGCTGGGAGGACCCCAGCCTGCTGGAGTGGGATGCAGGTAAGCACGCTGTAGTGTGAGGTCAGGCGTTGCTCAGCCAGGGACAGGCCTGACTCCCTCCTTGGGGCTGCAGACGGGAGGTGGGCTGGGAAACTCCACCTTTCTGCAGGGCAGGCACTGTTAGCCCACACCTGGAAGGTGATGCTGCACTCTGAAGGGCAGGTCCTCACCCAGCCATGGGCCAGAACTTGGTGAGGTGACTGGGATCTGGGACTTTCTGGCCCTGTGTTACTCATGAGGGGCCTGGCTTGCTGAAGGTCAAAGAACATTCTATTTCTCCCAACTTCTTAGGAAAAAATTTAAGCACAGAGTGGCACAGTGACCAGCTATCTATCTACCATCTAGATTCAGTAATTAACATTTTGCTGTGTTTACTTTATTCCTCTATGTGCATGTGTATGTTTTGTTTGTTTTGGGCTCAGTTATTTAAAGCAAGTTTCAGGTGAGGTTATTACTTTCCTCCTAGGTACCTTAGTGTTCCTCTCCTAAGAAAAGAGACATTTTCTTTCCTATCATAATACCATTATCACATCTCAGAAAATTAACTGTAATTCTGTGGTATCTTATATCCAGTTTATGTTCAAATTTCCCCAATTTAAGTGTCCAGGCCAGTTGTCTTGTAGAATGTCCCACTTTCTGAGTCTGTCATGTTGTTTCCTCCTGGGGTGGCCTAACTTGGAGTGTCCTTAATCGCCACAGAAGCCATGGAGCAATCACAGCAATGGCAGAAGAAAGAAACAGACAGGGGAGAACCTGCCCCACGACAGGGCCAAGCAGCCTCAGCCCAGGTGGAAAGGTGCAGGCTTGAGGCCCTAGTTCTGTGATCTCGGGCAGGTCACTTAGTCACTCCAGTCTTATTTTCCTCATCTTCCAAAAGGGAACGGTAGTATGTGACTCTTGAGGCTAGAGATTCATTGGGATTGAGCATATCAGCCTTGGAGAAGGACCAGGTGATGTGACCAGGTTTCAAGGGGGAATAAGAGTGAGCTTTGCTAAGCAAGCAGAGCTGAGGAAAGATGAGGCTGTGTTACTGAGGAATCATGACAGGATGCCAGTGGGTGTCAGGCCAGGTGACCAAGAGACGTTGGGATCAGAGGAAAGGCCAGGGCTGGGACAGTTAGAGACTTCACCGTGGGAATGAGTGAGATGACCCCAGGGTGGGGAAGGGCAGTGCAGTTAGAGGTCTAAAGTAAGAACTCTGGAGCCTGGTGCTTGCGCTTTTGTCCCAGCTCTGCCACGCCCTGGTTGTGTAACTTGGGGCAGGTGACTTGACAGGTCTCCTCCTGAAAGTAGCAGGGTTAGTGGGAGTGCCAGTTGTGCAGAAACTCTCTCAGGCACTTAGCAGAGCCCCCGGCATGAGATGAATCCTCTAAAAGTGTTGACTGTTACTCAGAGGTCCCAGGCCGAGGTTTTAGAGTCACCTTCATGGAAGGAAGGATCGTTCCCAAAGGCGGACACTGGGCCAGGCTCCGCATCCCCTGACCGCCTCCCCCTCCCAACCGCAGATGACTTCCGGATCTTCTGCGGGGATCTGGGCAATGAGGTGAATGACGATATCTTGGCACGCGCCTTCAGCCGCTTCCCATCCTTCCTGAAGGCCAAGGTGATCCGCGACAAGCGTACAGGCAAGACCAAGGGCTACGGCTTTGTCAGCTTCAAGGACCCCAGCGACTACGTGCGGGCCATGCGTGAAATGAACGGTGGGTGAGGCCTCTGCCAGGGACGGGGGTGTGGCAGGCACCTGCCCGAAGCCTGACCCACAGCCTGACTTGAACGCTCCATTCCCACAGGGAAGTATGTGGGATCACGCCCCATCAAGCTTCGCAAGAGCATGTGGAAGGACCGGAACCTGGATGTGGTCCGCAAGAAGCAGAAGGAAAAGAAGAAGCTGGGCCTGAGATAGGGTCTGCGGCTGGGGACCCGCTCTCACCCGGCCAGGCACTAGCTCCCTGCCACAGTTCTCTTGGGAAAACCCCCAACTATCCACGCACCCATGGCCCCAAAACCAGTTTCAATAAATTTACATTCATTTCCATTCCTTGCTGGGCTTGGAAGCGCTTTGAGGGGAGCAGGGCTTGACTTACCCTCCAAAGTGGTGAAATGAAAATGGTGGAGAGCCTTGGAAGTTTATCCACACATCCAGATGTGCAAGAGCCCTTGCTGTGTGCCCATTATCTTTTCTTAAACCTTAAGTGCATACTGAGTGCATTCCATTTTGGAGGAGGAGGTCGGAGCCTGTAGCAAAGTCAAAGCCAAACTGCAGCCAGCTCCATGTATGGATTCCCTCCTGTGTTCTCAGCAACAAAGCAGGGGTCTTCTGCGCCCGCCCTTCTAGAGCCCACAGCCTTCTAGTCTTTCATCCATCCAGCAGACGTTCACTGAGGGCCTCAACAATGCTGGGGATGTAGTGGTGACTAAAACAGCCCCAGACCCTGCTCCCTTAGAGCTCATGGTTCAGTAGAATATAGGCCGATGCCAGACAGTGAGCCCAGAGCGGTCAGGGTAGAGATCAGGGAACCAAGAACGCTGACCTCTGGGTCAGGAAGGGCTTCCTTAAGGAACTGTCCACTTCTAAGACTCCTTTCAGGATGTCTTCCAATTTCTCCACTCTGCAAACCCCAGCTGAATTATCTTACTAAGTGTGTGGGTAGCTCGTGAGTGTCTGTGAGTCCGCCTGCTTTCTTGTCTAAATGTCTGAATCTCACTGAGTGTTCTCTGCAACTGTGGTTCTCCCTCTCTCTTCCCAGCTCCGGGCTGGCCTCTGCCTGTCTGAAGAGGTATCTGTGCAGGACTTTGAATGCCAGGCTAAGAGCTTAGACTACCCTGCAGGCAGCAGCAAGCTCTGAGAACCTGAGACAGAGTTCATGCTGCAGGTAGGGGGCTGGCATCACAGACTTGCATGTTAGAAGAGCCCTGAGACTACCACTGTGGGCTGAAGGTCTGGAAGGAGGTTGAGGCAGGGACCAGGCCAGCAGAGGAAGATAACAGGGTTTGAGTGTGAGGAGGGGGTGAAGGTCTCCCAAAGACAGAGCCCTCAGAACCCTAGATTAGGAAGGACTTTGTGGGACATAAGTGAGGTGGGGTGGGGGAGGGTGTCGTAGAGACAATACCAAGGCCTCTCTGGGAAGGAGGTTACTCGGGAGGGGTGTCGAATTTCTTCTGTTCCTGTCTTCTCCCTTTATTGCCCTCTCTGACGTCACATTTTCCAGTCTGGTCAGAGGGGAGAGGGCCTCCCTCCCTGGCAGGAAGTGTCTTTTAGCTCCCTGCCACCTGGGCTAGACCACCCAGCACCAGGTCCCTCATCACTACCCCTTCCTACACCTGGCCCTCTTCTGCTTACTGCAACCATAAGGACATGAGAGGAAATGGGAGGACAGGACGATTCCAGAAAGAAGGGACTTAAAAGTGCACACAAGTCTTCATGAGGATAGGGAGAACCATGAACAGAAATGGAGAGGATGCAACAGTGGGGACGGAGACTCAGAGATGAGAATGGTCAGTAAGAGATTGCAATGGAAAGGGATATGGGAGAAAACCCAGCAAGACAGGGAGACAGGAACACTCAAAGATAGATGGGGAGGGACAAGACCTCATTGAAGTCAGGCCTGGTGCAACAGAGACCCAGAGCTGGGACACCAACCCGAAGATAAATAGATAGCTAGGGCAGAGAAATGTGGAAAGACAGATACATATGGAGCAAAGCCAGCTTCAGGGAAAGGAGGCGGGGGGTGTGCTGGTACAGGGCAGGCCAGGACCCCCTTAAGGCCACTGGGCTGAATGAATGGAAGAACCAGTGACACCCTAGGGCTCTGTGGCTCACCCCATCCCAGTGACCCTGATAAAGTGACTTTCTTGAGTCCCAGTTTCCCTTCTGTGAAATAGAAGAGCATTGCCTCTGCTCTTCTCGCCCTCCAGAATGGTAAGTAGTTAATGATCCAGAAGTTGGGTGAATACTGGAGAAAATGTCCATATTAGAAAGTTATTTTTATCAGCCAGGTTCGGTGGCTCAGCCTATAATCCCGCGCCTTTGGGAGGCTGAGGTGAGTGGATTGCCTGAGCCCGCGGGTTCGAGACCTGCCTGGGCGGCGAGACCTCATCTCTACAATAAATCAAAAAATCAGCCGGGCGTGGTAGCATATGCCTGTAATTCCAGTTACTTGGAAGGCTGAGGCGGAAGGATCGCCAGAGCCCAGCAGGTCGAGGCTGTGGTGGTCGGGAGTGGCCACTGCATTCCAGTCTGGGTGACAGAGTGAGATTCCAACTCAAAAAAAAGAAAAAATTATTATAGTAGGATAGGCATAAACACAGTCTCTGCAGCCGGGTTACCTGGGTTAAGGGTTGCAGACATAGCAAATAAAAATATAGGACACCTAGTTACTGAATTTCAGGTAAACAACAAAGAACTTTTTAGTATAAGTATGCCCCAGCCTGGTGCAGTGGCTCACACAGTAATCCCAGCACTTTGGGAGGCGAAGAGGAGAGGAATATCTGAGTTCAAGGGTTCGAGACCAGCCTGAGCAACATGACAAGACCTCGTTTCTACAATAAACCAAAAAATTAGCCAGGCGTGGTGGCACATACCTGTGGTTCCAGCTACTTGGAAGGCTGAAGCAGAAGAATCACCTAAGCGCCATGAGCATGCCACTGCACTCCAGCCTGGGTGACAAAGTGAGACTCTTGACTCAGAAAAAAAAGTATGTCCCAAATACTGCATGCATATGTCACATGTATGAATTTTTTTTGCTGAATTATTTGAAGCAAGTTACAGACATAATACTTCATCCCTAAATATCTGTTTACTTCTTAATAGAGGCATCTTTCATATCATAATAGCATTATCAGAGAAAATAACTGTATCTCATATCCAGTTCATACTCAAATTTCCCCAGTTGTCCTAAGCTATTATAGCATGGAAGGGCATGGGCTCTGGAGAGGGAGTAGTGGGAGGAAGCCTGCCTCAATTTCCCTTTTCAAAAAATTGGGATGAGACTAGTACCTACCTTAAAAGAGGATTAAATAAAGGCCCACTGTGCAGTTGGTGGCATGTAGTGAGCCTGTTAGCTCTTATGATTATTACTGTTAATGTTATTAAGATTGACACTCCTCGGGAGCAGCCCAGCTCGGCCTGGTGGCAGATTCAGGTCGGCCTCCGCCCCATTCCACACCCCTCCCACACACACACCTCCGCAGTCACCCTGCCGATTGTGACGTCAGCTGTTGCCGGCGGCGTGGGGCCATCTGGCCGGAAATCCTTCTTCCTGTTGCAGATAAGCCAGGAGCAGCCCAGCTGACCCCAGAACCCCTGCCCTCACTACCCCCCATGTCGCAAGATTCAGTCCCAAGACGGAGAACCTGGACATCAAACTTCTGCCCCACCCCCCAACACCCCGTAAACACCCCCTGTCCCTGGCGCCCACCCCCGTCTCGCCCAGCCCGCTGCTCCCCCATCCCTTTTCCAAGTCCGAGCCATCCCTGCAGCAAGACAGCCCCAGAGGGGAGCGCCCATCCCTGAGGCGGGGGTCGCGGCTCGGCCCCGCCCCCGCCCCTGCAACCTGACCCGGGCTACGACCCCCTGCTCTGACGTCTCGGAAAATTCCCCCCTGCCCAAGTCCCGAGGGAGGGGAGGTGCATGGTATGAAATGGGGCTGAGACCCCAGGCTCGGGGCAGAGGAACCCGCCAGAGGTGAGCCATGAACTGAACGAAGACATGGTGTCAGGCTTAGGAAGGACCTGGGGACCAGACACGTGGAGCTGCGGGCCTGGACTCCTGGGTCGGAGAGAGGAAGGGGGCTGAGGTCTCTCATTTCTCCTCGGAAAGGCGGGGTGTAGGCCAAGATTCCAGGCTCCTGGACTCCTGGGTCTGAGGGAAGCAAAGGGTGGGGCCCAGACTCCGGGGTCTCTAAATGTCACTAGCTCACCCGCTGTCATGTCGACTTTTCCCACCCAGAACATTCACGAGTATCCATGGACACGTGGAACTGGGATGAAGCATCACCACAGGAAGTGCCTCCAGGGCACAAGCTGACAGGGCTGGGTAGGCTGCGGGGGCAGAGACCATGTGTGGGGGGGTTCCCAGGTGGGGGGTCTCTGCTGACCCGGACCGGGCCCTAACTTCCTTTGGCCTGCAGGAGTCGAACTGGGCTTCTGCTTCCATGATCTTGCCCGCCAAGAAGACACACCAACAGCGGAGACATGCTGGAAAGGTGGCTGCCGGCTGGGCGCCTGGGCGCTGGGGAAGAAAAAGGGAGGCTGGGCTCCTAGGTTTAAGGGAGGAAGGGGGCGAGCCTGGACTCCTGGGGCTGAACAGGAGCTGGGGGTGATAACTCCCCACAAAGACTACGGGGTGGGTGGTTGAGTGAGTTCTCCAAGTCATTGTCGTACTCTCCCCTAAACTCGGGTTCGATCTTGTCCCTCGCAGGGTTCCCACAGCTGGACTGGGGCTCCCCCTCGCCGCACCCAGAAGCTCCGTGGGGAGCGGGTGAGTACGCGGGGAGAGGCGGCGGGAGGAGGCGGGGCCGGGATCCTGAGACATCGGGGCTGGGGGTTCAGTCTCCCTGATCTCTGCGGGGAAATGGGGCTAGGACTGGGGACATCAGCGTCCTCAGAGTGGCGTGGCCTGGATCCAGGAGCTCCAGGCCCCTGGCGCCAGGGCGGAGGGCTCAGGCCCGTGGGGGCCCCGAGGGGGCTGGGGACCTGGACACCTGGCTCGCCTCACGTGGGATTCGTTACCCCTCCCAGAGCCCGCCCCTCAGGCTCTGCCGTGGTCGGGAGACTGGACAGCCCTGGCGTGCACCGCCGCGGACTCTTGGAGCAGCGTCCCCCAGACCCTAGGTCCTGTCCTTCCCTGCTCAGGCCCCGCTCCCTCCGCTGGTTCCGAAGGGGCGACGGCCCAGAACTGCGCCACTTCGGCGGGAGAGCCCAGCTCGCGGTCGTGCGCCCAGGCCGCCAGCAGCGCCCCGCGCTGGGGCTGCTCTGTTGGCCCGGACGGCTC